CAATGCATTTAATAAAGAACTGTTCAAGAGAGACCAACAAGATTAACAGCTTAATCTACAGAATAACAACATAATGCAATAATCTTAGAACATAGCTAGCTAATCCAACTTTTTTGATAAAGTAATAATTTTATTAAGGTTAGGGCAAAAAGTCACTCGTACACAAGGAGTATACCAAAAATAGTAGAAAACTTGCAAGCTGGCCAATTCAAAATTGAGAATAATAAGAAAATGAATGATTATAAATAAACAGAAAGAACACATTACACGTAAAAATATAGACGGTAGATAAAAACAAAAAAGAAATTGAATATTAGACAAAAACAAACATCTTCTTGCCTGAACATGAGTTTCAACAATTATCCTGGCAGAATAAGTCATGTTCTGAAGGCGAGCATGCCGTGGCCACAAGTCCAGGTACTCTTCCCCATTATAGGCAGAAAACTTTTCCCCTGCCCAAAACTTTGGCCGATCAAGGGTTACTTTCCCAAACTTGACAGAAGCATGCTTCCATTCACCTTCACCTTTCTTTGATGGATCATAACCTGGCTCAACATGGATCTCCCCAACCGAGTCGAACACCCTTTGGATTCCATACCTGATGAAGTCATTGTATGAATCAATCTGGTGGCTAATTACGCCATACTTCTCAAAGAAACCAGCTGATGCCTTTTTACAGAAGTTTCTCAAGAAACCTCCACCCAACTCTTTAATTGAAGTCATATCAAGATTATCATCCTCATCCTCGTCCTCATCCCAATCATAATCTTCTACTTCAAAAAGACCATCAATATCAAAGTCCATCATTGTTGATCCATTGGAAGTCTTCGCTTTTCCACTACTACATCCCACATCTTCCATGATATCAGAAATTGTCATTTGAATGAAGCACCTGCATCAAAAACAAAATCAAAGTGCATCAATCCACATTAATTTCATTCCAACCTGTACTGGTGCACAAACATGATCAGATGATCTCTCCTTTCAAAAGCAATCAATGGTACAACATAAAGAAAATCGACAGCTAAAAGACTTTAGTTACCCCATCTGAAAGTAAAGTCCTTCCAGGAAGGCCAAATGAGTATTTCTCTAAAAGAAAAAAAGAAAGGACTAAGGCTTGTTCATTTATTTCTAACTAGAAAGGAGTTCTCATTTAGAAACAGTAAAAAACAAAGCACAAAACAAAAGACTATACAAATGTCCATGGGGTGGAAATCGGGATTGCTTGGTTAAATTTTCTCTTAAATGTAAACTGTGTTTTTGACAACCCAGTTCACTCTGGTTGACCTATTTCTAAAGAAGATAAAAGGCAAGAGAATATAGAGACAAAGAAAGGTTGTGACTTATAGTATCTTATATGTAACTTTGGAATATATATATAATGTTACTTTAAAAGATTAAGAATCACTGACTTAAATACATGAAAATTGGAATGCATTCGACTTGTACTTCTTGGGATGGCGGAGTATATGTAACTTTGTACATGCCTTCTCAAGAAATTATGAGAAATTCCAAAATCCCTATGACTTATGATGAGAGCCAACAGAGAATAACAGGAAAGCAAGCTCGACTTGAATTCACTCTAACATTGATCCATGCAACAACATACCAAGTGTAATCCCACAAGTGGAGTTTGGGGAAGGTGGTGTTTACTCAGCCTCACCCTTACCTTGAGAAGGTAGATATGTTGTTTTCAATAGACTATCGGCTCAAGTAAAACATATCAAAAATCAAATATGTAAAGCAAATCTACCGTAGTAAAGAAGCCATACTGAAAACAATGGAGAAGAGTTGGCATTGATCCATCCAGTCATAAAAACTAACAAATCTTGAAGACTCAAGACGTTCACCAGCATTTCAGAACACAAAAATTTAAATAAAATGTATAAGCTACCCACATTACAAACTTTTTTTAGGAAACCCTTAACTTAAGTTGCTTTCAACATTTCCTGAAATTGGCATAAGCTGCCTAATTTGTATCTCTTTTTTTCCTTCTCTTTTCACCTCTAGAATACCCGTAAGATGTCTTCAACATTTTCTGAAAAGTATAAACTATAGTAAATTTTTAAAAAACCTTTCCTGTTCTTTTGCACAAAACCCATAAAGTGCTTTCAGGGATTTCAGCACCCTAGTATTCCTACTTCAGTCAATTCACCTCTAAACCCTACTTGTGATGGCAAACAAGTTGTTTTGATAAACTTTCAGCTCAAGTAAAGCATATCAAAAACCAAACAAGTATAGCAAATACAATAGCAAAGAAATAACATTTCAATCCTAATCCTTGACCTTCGTATCTTTCTATCTGGGTCATGTCATCAGTAAGTGGCAAGTATGTCATATTCTATCTAATCACTTCTCATCCCCAAGACTTTTTCCGCCTAACTCTTCCTCTCTTTATACACACTATATACAACCTCTCACACTTTCTCACTAGGGTATCTGCTCATCTTCTCTCCACATGTCTCTCTCATCTAAAACCCCGGCGTTTTTCATTAAAACCCCATATAAAATTTTGCAGACCATACTGCATTATAACTGTATATCAACATGAATCAAAAACAGGTGTTAAAAATGAACAAAACCCACATAGATTACTTAAAAACAAACACAAAACTTGAAGCGAGTATCAAAAATTCATCGTAAAACCACACATTTTCTGAATATTTGCTTAACGATTTAGAAAAAAGCAAAAAAAAAAAGAACAGCTTACAAAGTATCGTAGCTTCTGCTTCGCTATTTTTTGGTTGAATTTTTTTGAGAGTTTTTTCTGCAGTCACGCCAACAAGCAGAGAGAGAAGAAGAGCAGTGGCTAGTGAGTGTGAATTCTTGTCAGTTTTCTTTTATGCATTGGAAAAATGGAATCGAAAAGGTATAATGTGTACTGACTCAATGAAATGATGCCACGTGTTAATGTTAAAAGAAATAAACCAAAAAGAAAAGCTATACTAATTTTGTTTTTTCCCTAACTCGGTGTTCGATAGTCATACTAAAGCTCGACTACTTGAAATTTGTGATGCCTACGGCCCCATTTGGAGGTAAGGCTACCAACCAAGGAGAATTTGAGACTTCCTGATTAAGAAAAAATAGTTTCATTTACTGTACCACATCCATTGATGATATATTAATGAGTAATTATTGCTCACTATTTTAATATTTTAAAAAGTACATTCTTTTGATAATGTCAAACCTTCGGTCTCTCGGGATCTGTTTGGTACGAGGAAATTTGTTTTATCAAAAACGTTGAGAAAACGATTTTCAATGTTTTCGTATTTTCGTTAGTTAATATTTTGAAAAAATATTTTCATTACAAAAATAAGTTCTTAAAATGAGAAAAATATTTTTCCTAGTGAAAATAAAAAATCAAATTCAATAAATGGAGTATTCAGTATTAATTTTTCTAGAAAATAGAAAAATCAAATTCAATAAATGGTACTCTCTCCGTCCCTTTTTATATTTCACTTTTTTACTTTGCACTGCATTAAAAAATGATTAATTTTACCCTTCTACCCTTATTTAATTTTTTTGGAACTCAAATTTTCAATCAATGAATATGAATCATTTACTTAGCTTTTCTAAGTTGGTCAAATGTATATTTTCAAGATTAATAACTCACAAAGATAAAAAAGGAACAATATGGTAATTTATACATTGATTTTATGAAATGAGAAGTAGTATTATGGACCAACTATTTATAGAAAGAGATGACATATAAAAAGGGACGGAGGGAGTAGTATTTTACATTAATTGAAATATTTGTTGTGTCAAACATAAAGAAACGTTTACATGTAGTAATAATAAAAAGGCTAATTACTCTTGATATTTTAATAATTAAAAATAACTCCCTCAACTCTTTTTATTGTCACTTAAGTAAATGTTTGATTTAACATATTTGTCGGTTGTCACTTTAAAAATCAAGATTCAAGAGTAAGATGTTACATTTTTCTTTGAGTTTTGTTTTTTATAACTCCACAAATATGGTCATTAATTATGCATTTAAGAAAAATAAGACTAATTTAGTCAAATAGTATCTTTTATAATTAATGCCAATAATTTCTTAAGGTAATTTGCGATCATTCGAGCATTCAGCTTTGCAATCAATCAGGCTAGAGCTTGAATTTCCCATTTCCATTCCTTCAGCATACCGCGTTAGACATTTGTCAGTACTCTTAAACTATAACCGAAATCTCAGAAACACCTTAACTAAACTAAGGTCCTATTACCCCGAACCCATTTTTTTATAAATTTTGTACACCTTTTTGGCTTACGTGGCATCCAAACATCTCTCACGCGCCTCAACTACGTGGAGTCACGAAGTGTGTCACGTATGCTTAAAAGGTGTACAAAATTTAAAAAAAAATGAGTTCAGGATAATAGAACATTAATTTAGTGAAGATGTGTCTCTGAAATTTCAATCATAGTTTAGAGGTACTTGACGTCACCAAGTTGAAGCTATTACACAACTTTTGGATTGAAGAACCATTTGAAGTCACCTCGCTCAGCATAAAAACTGCCTGATTCTTGTAGAGTAGATGTGGTGTTAAGCATAGTTTGCTGTGCAGAAAGCCCAACATTGCCTCTATTTTGTTTGGTAATAAGTCTACCTGAGTTATCTATTATAAGCACACTTGAATTGTCATATATGTTGAGCATATCGGGCAGTGTCTTTGACACGCCTCAAGCTTTCAAGAATTCCTTATAGTTTTCATGATCAAGTATTTTTCGTAAGATTTTCAACAATACACAAGTTCATCTTTGTCGCCAATCCATACTGGATGTGTGACTATGATCATAGAATTGGTATACCAAATTGCTAGGTAGCTGTAGTACAACAGAAAATCAAGAAGCAGAAGAAACAGAAGTCAAGGGTTCTCATAGCTGGTTTTAGTATCTCCATCTTCTCTAATTGCAATTGTCAATAACGCATTTGACATTCTTGGGTGAGGTATTATTAAAGCAATTGAAAGAGAGAGGAAAAGATATGAAACTGCAATCCAACGAAATGGAGACTGTAACAAAGTTTCTTCGAGTAAACGATATAAAATCGCACCAATACACCTAAAGAAATCAAATCTACAACTTAAATCACAGAGTAATCATCTCACCCCAGCAGAATGGCTGGTAAAACACATTTATTTTCGACAATAAACATGAGCAGCATTCGAAGAAAACTAATTTTTTTTCTTCTTAAAACATTGTTGACATTAGACAATCAACCACAAAGACGTAGAACAACTCAATGTTCCAGGAACATAAAGGTTACTTATATATAGCTCATACAAGCAGATGTCGGATTAGCGCTAGCCTGTCTGTTCTTCTGCATAGCACCAAACTGCTTGGAGTTTATACAGCGGCAGCTTCCCTCAAGTATCTGCAGGCAAGGAAAACCAGAAGTTCAATTAGTTAGTTTGCTGTAAAAGACTAGATTACTACTACAATGGAACAAGATATTTTCCCAAGGATGTTAATATTTACCATTTGGGGAGCAAGCACTCCTTGAAGAGAAGTTGGAAGGAGCAATTGGAATGGATATGGAGAGCTGTGTTGTGGAGAAATTGTTTTTGTTGGATCCCTCATCGTCGAGGTTGGACCACGATTCTTTAGCAGTGGGCCATTCGTTAAAGAAAGGGCGCATTGAATGCTGCTCCTCCTTTACTGTTCCAGGTGAATCAATGTCACTGCCAAAGAAGCAATGCTGGTGTCGTCGTTTTGAAATTGTTGCATCAATCATAGGCTCAAGTAGATTAGGTAGATGCATCTCTGTTGAGCTACCCAGCAGCTGAGAATCATTTTTTGATCTCGCCATGGGGCTTGAAGAAACTTGAGAAGGCAATACCCAGGTACTGTCTGTGTTGGTCCCCATCCCTAAACTTCTGACAGTAGCAGAAGCCTCTGAAGATAAATTGTGCTCATCAGCATCAGGAGTAATTCCATGGAGATACCTGTGGTACATTTTGTCATTAATGAAACTGGATGTTACAACACTTATTTCTCTGAAGGCAATATAAAATTGACTGCATATTAGACATGTTACTTTAACCAGCAGTCAAGTATAGTATTAAAAGAAGTACAAGGCAAAGTACCCTAACAATACGTAGATTTTATCAATCAGAGGCTCAAGTAAATTAGCTTCTTCAAATTCCCAAGATTGTTGTCAACTTCCTAATTAGGAAAGGATAGAAAGGGAATGCACTTAGAAACAAAAAGGAAGCAACTTGCTGGAAAACAAAAAAAGACGAGGAGAGCCGGTGCATAGTTAGCAGGGATTATGCATCCTTCAGCACCATATGCATTAGCCAAAGAATACAGGGCAACTTGGCAGAAGGCTATCGTCATTTAACACTACATTATCATTATTTAGACTATCAGACATAATCCCAGTGAGAAAAACAAGATGATTGTGGTAAGTGCAGAATATTTCCAACATTCCATCACTGAGCTCTGCAAGCATGTGTCATGCTAATACCGATAAAAATATGTCATGATAAAAATAAACACACTCTATATGCATAGTGGAATCTAGTTTATGACTTGATAAGTAACTGGAAAATACTTTATTCTTCTTGTTTTAACATAATAGTGGGAACCCATAGAGGAGAAGCCTTTTGTCTATGTCATGGAAATATTGATGTTGCTCCTCCTTGAAAGTACTACAGAGACGAATATATTCCATTTTCCTAAAATCTATTTCAAACTTGACCTGTAAATTAACAAAAGATTCCTGTGACTCGGTTGCGTAACTCTCTTCTCCCCTCTAGGATCAGTGCAACTCCCAAGAGAACATTCAAGGACACAACTTTGCAACCGACACCAGCAATCAGACATGCATTTTCCTGTTACATGAAATTCTGTCTGTGCCACACATACACCTACCATATCTTTACCCTCCCATGGTCTCACCATATATCCACGATCTAAACACAACTCTGACCTGAAAATTAATAATCCTGAAGGGCCACTAGGTTTAAAAGAAATACTTGAGACACAACAGCTATTTTTGCTCTCACCCTCACTATCTTTCGTCTTTGTTAATGGTATAAGCTGCATATGAAAATCAGCAGCCTTCCTGCACTCAGGACAGGACCTTGATAGATAAACGGCTCCTAAGAGAGAAGAAAATAACATTAAGAGGTGGATCAATAATAAATTATCAGGCTATCAAATTCTACAATGCTAGTAGGTCTGAAATTAGCAGAAGTGAAAAGATGAACTGAAGATGTAAGTGGAAAGATGAACTGAAGGTGTACGGGCTACAAAATGGGTCATAAGCTGACAAAAAGGGAAACCTTGATGTCATGACAACAGTCCCCCAAGTCCTATATAGCATCCTCCTAATGTGGCTTTGAGTTCACATATCTATCTTTAACTAGCCCAAAAGAAAAATGACAAAAGACAGAATCATTTTTCAAAACAAGCAGTGTTCGGGATCAAGGCTTGAAGAAACATTATTTTCTGCAATCCAAGCATAAGAAGAACTACAGAGGACAAACCGAGGTACCTATAGTCCTTGTTATCTATTCCATAGGAGACAGGCTCCATCTGCAGCTTTGTTGCAGTGCTTCCATAATTCCCTGAATTAGCAACAGAATATAATGGCATGTTTTGGAAGCTTCCACTGCTGCTATTTTGGAAACTTCCTCTTGTATTGCTGCTCCCAGTTGTAATTTGTGACATACTAGTCGACAAGGACTGGGAAGTAGATTGAGATTCCACAGGCTTTCTTGAACGGTTGCGGCCTCGATGCATATGCCGCTCACAATATTTGGAGTCAGGATATGCATCTTTTGAGCATCTCCACTTCTTTCCATCAGTCCTTCTACACCTTCCTGGCTCAGGATCAAATTTCTTCCCATAATAGGAACAATAGCCCACTGCACATGTAAGAAACAAATGATTAAGTTCCATACTGAGCTAATGCAGTATAGCGGAAACCACCACCCTGAAAGAAGTCCTTTTACAAGAATGAAAATATATCAAAGATCTAATTAGCCACACATCAATCAGAAATCAATGAAATAGGAGCATACCACAACACAGAGTTGCAACTACTGGAACACTTCTACAAACACCGACATCGAAAGTAAGCACTTCTGTAAACTATTCATGATCAGTTGGGGATGTAGCCATAGTGCTACCAGTTAAACCAAACCCAATATTTTTGACACGGAATATTGATATTTATGTGTAAGACAACAAAATTAGATTCTGAAGCCATAATTTTAAAAGTACATTGAGTTCATTACTAAGAATATAAAAGGTTGAACCCATTAAATTAAAATTCCAGATCTGCCTTCTTTCACGACAGTCAACAGTATACAACTTAAATAAACACCGGATAAGCCTCTAAAAGGCAAAAACAAGAGTGTTGCTACTACATTGACACATAGAAGACAAAGCTAGATGTCAACCCCATATAGACTAGATTAGTGATCTTTGCACTCAAAAATGGATAAACAGATAAAAAAAAGTCACTAACCAAAAAAAAAAGTGAATCCATTACTCTGATCCCAAACAAAGAATAGAAAATGGTAATAATTGCACATCCACAACAAGACAGAAAATTTTCAAGAATGCCAAAAGAAAAAGAACCCTCTTTTCAGATCTGCATGGTTCAATTATACCATCAAAGTGAGCTAAACCTTTCAAATAGATATAGATAAAATAAGAAAGAGAAGCAAGAAGAACATACAGCTGGGATGATGAAAGAACCTAGCTGAGATGGCTTCAAAGCTACGACGAATAGGAACAACAAGATCAGGTGGCACAGGAAGACCTGCCACCAAGTACTTGTATATCATTGCTTGATGCTCCAGCT